GGACTTTGCTTTACAAATGACAGCTTCGTGACCTAAGTAGGCCTCCCCTGACCTAGCCCGAGTGGAGGAGCTACTCTGAAGTGGGGGGAGAGACTTGGAGAGACCAAGGCGGGTATCTTCCCACACAGCAGGAAAGGCTGTGTGCAAATCCAGGAGACAAACAACCCCGGGGAGAAAACTATACCGAACCACACTTAGGCACACCGCAATAACGGAAAAGCAACATTTAAACTACTAAGAGGAAAGAGGACATTACAGACGTGTAGACTACGACAAGAATCTCGACTGACTTTTCGGTAAACAAAGGGGGCTCGATTGTTGGAGCCCACGCAAACATACTGTAGCACGCATTCTCTCTCACACAAATACTAAATATAATAAAAACACAAGAAACTAAAAGCTAGGCTGGTAAAATGGCTTCAGAGCATGAAGACCTGCCTGACGCCCATCCTGAGAAGATTTTGACTGCTGAAACCCACAGTACAGGGCAAGGAGAACTCAGGATTCCCACGAGGGCCCTCTGACCATCACATACATCCACACAAAATAATACATGTCATAAATTAATTTTAAAACACGTTAATGTTGGCGAAGCATGGTGGATCTCTGTGAGTTCAAGGCCAGCCTGGTCTACATAGTGAGTACCAGGACAGCTGGGGCTACAGGGAGATCCTGTCTGAAGAAGACAAAAAAAACCAAAAACAAAAACAAGAATTAGGGCTGGTGGGATAGGTCCGTGGGTAAAGGCACCAACTGCCAAACCTGGTACCCTGAATTCAATCCCCAGGAATGAGAGAACAGACCTCACAAGCTATCTACACACACACACACACACACACACACCACGCACGCATGCACACACACAATATAATTTAAAATACTTAAAAAAAAATAGAAGTGGGGCTGAAGAGATGCCTCAGCAGTTAAGAACACTGCATGTTCTTACAGAAGATCCAGGTTTGAATCCCAGCACCCACATGGCAGCTAACAACTGTCCGTAACTAGTTCCAGGGGATCCGACACCCTCTTCTGACATCCGCAGGCACTGCACGACACGGGTGCACTTACCTACATGCAGACAATACACACAATACACATAAAATAAAAATAATAAATGAAGCCGGGCATGGTGGCACACGCCTGTAGTCCCAGCACTT